ATTCTGTGATACTCAACTGGATTTATGTGATGGAAATGCTGGATGTAAGAAGAATCCTCTCCCATCCATGGTGTGGGGCTCCTCTGGACAGCAATTGGTCCAATAAAGATATTAAGTTGTATCTGAGGATGCCTCTGAGCATCTTGCTGTAGGAAGCCAGCACCTAAATGAGGTATGTGACTAGCTGGGATCAGCTCATGTTTTCCAGCCGTACTTCCTAACTGTGGAAGGAGATGTGGCCACTCTGTCTTATGGGCTTGTTTGGGGACCACGCCAAAGGCTCCCTCTTCCCTGGTGAGATGCCAATGGATGATGATTTGTATGTTACTGGCATTAGTTATATGAATTAGTGGTGAGTGAGACTTGAGTGATGGGCACTCTGAGGTGGATCAAGGGTCCTTGGATGACTTCAAACCTGCTGAGATAAGGAGCAGCCAGCTGAGCTCCTTGGTGAGGAGAAAATGAGCCTCTGTCTGTAGCTGAAGTCATCCTTGCAGCCCTTTGGGCCATGCTGCTGTTTCATCTTCATCTTTGTCCTGAGTTACTTTGGTACTGAGAAACCACCTGCCCTTGCGAGACCAAGGTGCAGTAAAAAGTGACCCTTGGGGTTTTCCTGTCGGGAATGGAAATGAAGTTTAGGCTAACTCTGTGCTGCGGGATGGAGTCCTGTACAGAAACATCTTATCCCATAGTATGAAAACAAATCTCAGAATAGAAAAGGAGGAGGAAAAGGATCCAAAACAGTAGCGATTTTGAGCTGCTTAAGGTGATAGAGCAGATGGCCAAATCTGGGCTCTACATAGGTCTGTGGGTCTTTTTCCATACCCCTCCACTGTTTACCCTGGATGTGTAAGAAGTGCTGGTGTCCCTCTGTGTAGTGTTTGTGTATCAGCCTGGTCAGCCAAAACCTATCATAAAGATGATTTGTAGAGGGTTAGGGCTGTCAAGTGCACAGTGTATGGAACTAAACCATAGCTGTTTGTGATGATGAATGGCAGTGACCTCCTATCACCAAACGAGTATGAGGGAGCAGGTATTTGGGAGAGATCTCAAGCTTGCTGTTGCTTTTTTGGCAAGCTGAGACAGCGGAGGGAAGTATTAAAGTGCCATCGCGGCTGCAGCGCAGTGGAGCCGACTTGCAAAGGGTGCTGTGGCTTAGTCCTGTCCCCTCCACAGGGAACAGAGCGCAGCTGACAACACAGCAAAAGGGAAAGAGTTCAGATGCAGGAAGGACACGTCGGATGTGTTTGTTTGCCTGTTTTGTTTGCACTCTGAGCTCCGATGAGCTAAAGTAACCTGAGGGTTTGTAGGAGGATTAGTTGGTTTTGGACTTTGAGGCATAAAACCCCACTATGCCTAACCTGTGTCAAACACAGCTAGGCACCTGAGTCTGTTGGGAGAGGCTGTCCATGCTTCAGGATGATCAAAGCCTTTCTGACACTGGGCTTTAATTGCCAGCTGCCAATAACACTGCTCCTGTCTCCTCCCCAGACCACCCATTAAGCTGTTGCCTGCCAGGGAGCAGAGATGTGTGCTTTCTGAAATACTCAGCTGGTTGCGCTGACACGTAACCTTCCTGGCTGCCTCTTCCTTCCCCCCTCTGTGCAGTTGCCTGTTGGTCTGGCACTCTCTGCTTGCTGTCCCCACAGCTCAGCAGCCTCTCCGCACCCCTGGCCTCCCTTCCCTCTCTCCTCCTTTGCTTCCTTCTCAATCACAGCTTCAGCAATTAAAAAGCTGGGATGCAAGGTGATCACTCTGAGGTCTCGGGCATGGAGAGACATGTTGGGTGCCTCTACTTCTTAGCTGTAGCTTTGCAATGAGGCAAATGTTTTGGTGTGTTTACTAACGTATGACAGAATAAGGACAAATGCGCACACAAACCTGTTTTTGCTCTTGCTGCAAACCAAGTTCCTCCAGGAACTGGGTTGGATACCAGCTTTTGTTAAATCCTGGTATGCACTGCTGGCCTCTGTGGCCAGAGGTTTGCATGTTGGTGTGCCCCACTGAAAAGTGGAGTAGAGCTCCTGGTCTGCTGCCATCTGACAGTGGTTCAGGTATCAGCATCTCTTAGTGAGTTGGGTTGTCTTGCACAGGTGCAATTCCAAAATCTGGGCTGATTACCATGTTGCCAAGGGTATCTTTATCTTCAAGTGGTAAGAGGAAATGCTGCAGCCTTCCAAAGCCAGATACTGTAGCTCAGTTTTGCAGACCTGAGATATTCTGATGAGCCTAGGAAGATGATAACCGGCTGGCAGGGTGCTTACAGAGGGCTGAAGCAAGCACATGTAATGGATATGGTACCATTATCGTTGTTAACAATACAAATATGCTTTTACTTATTACTTGGTAAGCACCCCATTGGAAACATTCATATCTAATTACCATTGATTCTTTTTGAGTGAATTGCTCTAAAACCTGGGGTGGTGGAGCCCCTTTCTCTTGCTCAGACAGCAAGTATCACATAACCAGCCATTCACTTCATCAGCAAAATAATTAATTCTGCTTAGGACTGAGAGCTTCTGCTTAGACTCGTAGAATCATTAAGGTTGGAAAAGACCTCTAAGATCATCATTCATTTGTATTGAAAATGGTGGCCAGCGATTTTCAGACTGTTGCTGGCAACTGGACTGGTAAGACTTGTCAGGGAGCGAATTGCAGGTGATGTCTGTAATGACTGATTTATTTCTTTTATAGAGAAGCATGCAGGATACTGACTGGTCCTTGTACAGAGGCGGTCAGTCCAGCAGTGTTTCATCTTGGAGATTTCTGATTTCAAACTAATCCAAATAGAAAGGATTATCGGTCAAATTCTGGTCAAAAAGGGGCAGGATTTTGTGAGCTACTCCTACAAGACTCCCAAGGATTATCAGTCTGAAATTCTGGTCAAAAAGGGACAGGATTTTGTGAGCTACTCCTACAAGACTCCTAGCCACTGGAGGCAGGGGGGGAACCTCTCAGTGGATTTTCTTTTTAGGTTTGCTGAGGTGAAGAGAAATTAAATCTCTGGTTCCCTGACAAAAGGGCACCAGACAAGGGGCAAACAAAACGACTGATGCCCCAGGCCAACTGTTTGAGTAGGATGCTGAGATTTCTGAGCTTTCAGTCCTTCCCTATTTAAAAGATTTTAGTGCTGCATGCTTTGAGGAGAGGGAATACTTGGAAGCCTTGCTTGTAAAAGGATGCTTCTCTCAAATCCCTGTGTCCATCCAGCTCAAAGTGGCTCAGCACCGTGAGGTGGGTACTGACAGTGCCCATCAGTGGCTGAAGGAGAGGGAAAAATGCATCTCCGAGGCTCTGTGTATCCTTTCCACCAGGTGGAGGAGAGCATATTTGTTATCCAAACCAAGAATCATAAAAATTGATGCAGTCTCCTTAGAGTTACCAGGAATGGCTTTTCCATTAGGCATTTTTGATAGTGATGAGCTGTGGCCCTTGAGAGCCCAGCAGTGTCTGCAAGTGCTGGGCTTGCTGGGTGAACCTGGGGTATTTCAGGTTTTTTGGGCAGAGCTAGAGCTGTATCTGTCCCCTATTACAGAAGCTGCCTGCCTGCCTTGTAGGACTTTGGCTCCAGCAAAGCAGTTTATTTAGGAAAGACAGGCAATGGGGAGGAGATGCAAGGGATGAAGGTTTTTTGGTAGTGGCTTTCTCCTCTTGGATTTCATAGGCAGGTTGGTGGAATGGTGGAGAGGAGGCAGATGGATACAGGTGGTGTTAGCATTTGGGGGGGGTATGTAGGGCTTTTTGAGTCATGTCTGAGATTCCTTTGTTACTTGTTTGCCCTTCAAATTAACCAGAGGTCTGGTTAATTGCCATCTCCATTTCAGAATTAGCCCTAAAAGGAATATACAGAGAGAATCGGCTCCTAGAACAGAAGGCCAGTAGTGGTAGTGGTGTAAGTGGTGTCTCAGGAGGTAGAGTCTCTTGCTTGTAGCCAAGTTTAATTCAAAAACCGAACCAACCATAGCTGCCCTGGTACAGGGGGTCTGCACAAATGGCAGTAGGGTGCATGGAAAGATTTGAGCTTAGATCTTGATATGTTTTGATCTTTGATGGAATAATGACTTATAAACCCAGCGGGGACCCCAAACCTGTCTACCCTGTGTGTGCTCCTACAACTATAGATAGAAAATCTCTCCACTAATTTTAAGTTTGGTACTGAGTGTTTGTCTCCCTGCAAAAGTTGCGATATGGAAGCACTTTCCTGTCCCTCTGATCAGCTCAGGAATCGAGCATGAGGCAACTTCTCTGCAAGGCTCCCTCCTCCTGTCCTCTGTCTCATATTTAGTATGCTGTTTTCCCAGGTGACCCTCCGCAAGCCGCTGCCTGGATTGGGCAGTGTATCCTCTACTTGCTGATAATGGTTTTTGAGAAGACTGTGATTAGCCTTGTCCTGCTTGTCCCTGGTTGGACAAAGGTAAGCTCCTCAGATGCGGATTTTTTCTAGCCACAGCTGCTGTGGCTTGTTTCTTGTCAGCTTTGCCTTATTAGTGGTCCCCATCATCATAGGTCTTTAATCCTTACGACTTGTTGACATCTCTCTGTGATCATTAGCTATTACTTAAGCTTGGGGAAGCATGACTTTCACAACAGTTTGGCTTTTGGTACATTCTCCTGCTAGTCAAGAGCTAATGGAATATGATGCGGTTTTAATTTTCTTTTCCATCCTTGGAAGGAGAAAATGGGCTGGGCTGGCAGCTGAGCTACCTCAGTTCTGCCAGAGGATTTCTACATTATCTTGTCAAGTCAGTTCATGTTGGTGTTTGGTGATCCCATGCCTAAACTAGGGGGGCTCTTAGAGATTAATCTGGAAAGAACTATTCTAGCAGTATGCTGTGTCCCTACTCTCCCCAGCTGCTTCTGTATGGTAGCTTCTGCCATGGTAAGTGTGTTTCTCTTTTAAAATAACAGTCCTGTGGCAGTTGTACCCACATACCTGGTGCAGGTGGGTGTGATGGGTATAAAACCAGTTCTGGGTGTGAATGGGTAACTCCTGTATTGAACACATTTACATGTAGTGCCTAGTTCCTCACAAGCTGGTGTGACTTGACTGCGGAGTTTAGAGCCATATGGGAGCACTTATCTGTTCCTCTTAAGGGCTCGTGCTTCTAACCCAGTAGCCTACAGTGCTGGCTTGGACACGAACATGTTCAGCAGCACGCACTGCTAGATCCAGAGGTGCTGCTGGATTCCTCTGCACACTTATCATGCAGGGCTGGTGCCCTTATTTTGCAGCCAGGCTCCAAGAAGCCAAGCAAAGTCTCACCAGTTGTCACAGGCAGTTAAGCTGAAAGACTTGCAGTACTGATTTCTTGATCTGTATGAAATCCTGTGTTTGGCAGCTGGGCTAAAGGAATAGCCCATGTAATTGTTCTAAGAGCTGGGCTAAAGCAAAGGCTGCAGAGCCCTAGCCTAGGAGACCAATGGTGTAAGAAGGCAACCACTTTGCCTCAAAGATCTCGCAACAGAGCTGTTCAAATAATGCTTCTAAATGCTTTCTCCTCTGCAGCTTCAGCAGATCCTCCTGGGTTACATCCCAAACCCCCAGCTGGAGCTCGTCCTTGTCATGCTGGTTGTGCCTTTTATAGTCAATGTAAGTGATGCTTCTGTGACGGCTGGGTGGGGTGGTTTGGAAATCATGGTTCCCCTCAATGGAAAGTGTGTACAGGAGCTGGCTTGGGGCAGCCTTGGGTAATTAAAGTGGCTGGGACAGGGTGGAAGGGAGTTGAAACAAACAGATTTGTTGTCACAAATACACAAATATGTCACTGCTGCCCTGCCATGGTCTCTGTTCTTGATTTCCACTCCCTTGTTCAAGCTGCTGCGTGGCCAACTCTTTGAAGAAAGCTGGGGCTCGTTAGCCGAGCTGCGTCTCAGCAGCAAGCTACAGGCATGGCAATGCCCCAAAGCCCTTTAAGTTCTTTTAGGATGGCTTATCAGTGGTGGCCTTTGGCAACCTGTCTATCTAGCCATTTGGCTAGACTTCAAATTAAAGCAAGGCAAGGTGTGCAGGTTACCCAAAACTAATGATTATCTCGAAACTAATTTGGCAAAACCTCTTGAAAGCTCAGTTATTAGCTGGTAACCCTGATTCTGAGTAATTCTTGACCTGCTGCTCAACTACTGGTAAGATGGGAAGTGAGAACAAGGTGTTCAGGTCCCCCCTAGACAAAGAGTGAGTCAAATTTCTTTTCAGCTCATACCATGAGCATGGCAATGGATGCAGCATTGGCAAAGTTGGGTTTACCTGCCTCTGCTACCAGCCTCTTTCTGCCATCCTAGGCTGAATTTCCTTATTTGAAAGGAAAATCTGGTTCTCAAAGAACTAACTCGGGGCTGGTGTGGACAGAGCAGATGAACCTTCGATGGAGCTTGGTTCAGTGGTTATTTCCTGGTGGAAACTTGGCCCATTATGGTCTCTTTTTTTTCTCTGGGTCTTCAACTATGGAATCAATGGGTTTTATGTGAGGCAGGACCTTAGGAATTTGACTCATCCAATCCCCATGGGCACACTTGATGTAGGGTTAATTTAGGTACTAAATTGGGTTGATCACAGCTGGACATCTGGAGAAACCAAAAAGGAGAAGAAATAGCTATGATTGAATGACTTTGTATTTTATCCTCTGCAATCTATTCATGTAACTTCTCTCTCCCCAAGGCCATTATGTTCTGGGTTGTGGACAGCCTGATCATGAGGAAATACAAGCAGAAGGACACCCTGGACATCAATGGATCCATAGAAACTCCTCGGGTTAGGAGGACTGAGGAATCTCAGGTAAGATCAAGGGATGTCCTGTGTTTGAGATCAAGCTGCGAGCTTAGGGTATGGTCTGCGTACTTTACCACAACCATACAACATACCACTGTGTTGCCTAGACCTATGGTGATGCTTCTTGAATGCAGAACTCAAGCTGACTTTCCATGCTTGCAGCTGAGGTTAACAGAGGGACGTTTCCTGGCAGGATCTGGCCTTGTCATACAATGAGCAACATAACAGTCTACAGTACCGCTGAAATATTGCCATAGATGATGACAGTATCCTGTGGGGTATGAGCTAGCCTTTGCAGTAACCTGTGTGGGCTTGTTGGAGTGTCAGGCTGAAGCTGGTGGGTACCTCTGCACTGCCTCTTTCAACTTTCCTATTTTTAATTAATTTTGGCTTAGAAGAGCTTGCTTCCCTTACTGTAATTGGTAGTATCCTTTTTTTAGAGCACAAGGCCTCGCTGGCAATCCTATTTTTGTCAATGTTTGCTGTTTTTTCAGCCAGATGATGTCCCTTTAGCTGTAGGGAGCTGTATTTTTTGTAGTCTTAGCTTGACACTTAAAAATTATCAGAGGGAGGGAATGCTCCAGTTCCAGCAGACCTCGTTCTTGTTATCAACATGTGGTTTGGTGGGCTGGTGTGGTGTCTGTGCTTCTCATCGGCTTTTGGGCAGAGACCACAACCTGAGTCACTGGGTTGAATTCCCTTCCTTCCCCTGGCACCCAGACCTGGTTTCAAGTGCTCTGCGTGTGACTCCTGATATCCTTCAGTTCGCTGGCGAGACTTACTGAGATAAGATAGCTTCTGGCAGTCGCTTGCTGGCTCCTGGAGTAGCTTCTGCTGAGGAATTTAGGCTGAACAGAAATAGCTCTTGCTCTGAGATCGCTTATAAAGAGAAACTCGGCTCTTGTGCTGATGGGTGGGATGGTCAATTACTGGTGACATTGCAACACATGCAGAGGTAACAGCGTTTAGTGGTGGGCTTGGCAGTCTGCACAGCAGCCATGGCTTACGTGTCCCAGGGGTGCAGTTGGGAAGAGGCTGCTGCTTGTGAGGATGCAGTGTTGGAGGAACCCTCCCTCTGGCAGGGAGGGCAGGCAGATGTGAGCAGCTGTTGAGACAAGTGAGACACATGAGTCACTGCTCCTGGCCCTCACAGCCCTCCACAGTCTCCAGATAAACAGTTGTAGCTTGGCGAGGTCACTAGAAACATGCAAACAGTGTGCCCTAGGGAGCTTCCCAAGTGGTTTGTGTGCTGGGAGCATCCTCAAGGTATCTTTGTTTTTGAGAAAGGAGGGGAAAGAGGCCTGAGCTGGGCAGTTCCAGTATATCTCAGTGGTTATGCATTGAAGTTAACAACTCATACCTGACATATGGTAGTGGGTTAACTCTGGGCATGAACTTGTCCCTGGTTTCTTGGTGGTGACTGACATTCAAGAGTGGTACTTCCTCAGAAGAGCTAGGTTGGAGGTCTACTCAAAATGTAGAGCTGGTTGTGAAGGTCTGCCTTACTGACTGGATACACTGGTGTGTTCCTGAAGGTTTAAGATCAGTTAAAATTGTATCAGCTCAGAAGCATGGGCAAGGAGGCAGCATCTCTATTTGAGATGCCAACCTCCTTTCAAGCCTTTTTGAACCTAATCTTGCAGCCTCTAGGCCCGTAGATGGTGGCTGCTGTGGATATGCAGATGGTGTTGCAGTTACTGGTCCTCCTTGGAGATGAAGCTGAAGCTTCCTCCACTGAAGCAGGGACAAGTGTTTTGTGGCCTCTAGCTCAGTTTTGGATAATCTGAAGGGAAGATACCTGTCAATCTCCAGAAGCTAGGAAAGACCCTTCTGGTGGCTTAACCCTGACAGGTTGTTTCAAGTGATAGAAACAACTCCCACAGTCCAATTCTTGCTGTCAAAGGCTTTTCCCATCTTCCAAGTACTTGACTATTTCTCAGACAAGTTTTTGTGGAGACCTTCAATGTGCAGGTTGTCTGTCCGTCTTGAAACCCTCTGCTCCATCTCTGCAGTCCCCAAGGGGACTGGTTTGTACTTGGAGCAGTCTGCAGGGACTGCCTCTTTTCTGCTCAAATATGTTCCTGTGCCTCTGGCTCAACAAACAGTTTGAGCAGAGAAGGAAGATAATGAAGAAATACAGAGGTGGATAACCTGGTTTTCCAATTCTGCTTCTTGGCACATGTCCTTAAGGTATAGCCATAGGCTCCTGCTTCATGAGTCAACTTTTTAGGCTATAAATTGAAGATCATATTGGCTGGCTGGGCCATACAGCTGCATTGGCTTGAGTTTAGTCTCTAAACTAGGAAGTTAGGGTTCTGCTGGGTTTGTTGCTGCTAATAACCTGTTCAAGTGGGGGAATTTCTCCCCTACTTGCTGCCCAATGAGAGAGGAAGGAGTGGGACTGAGAAGCATCTGCACAGGGCAGAGCTGGCTGAGGCTAATGTGTCCCGCAGTTTATCAGGGTTCATCAGGGCTGTCTCGCAGCAGGCGCCAACAGCTCCCCATTATGCTGCCTTCTTGAATTTCAGCCCTCTGCCTATCATGCCAATAGAGTGTCATTATTTTCACTTGAACTAGCAGTTTGTGTTTGGGAAAGGAGGGGGAGAGAGGAAGGAGAATAGGCAGAGGGGGCTGAAGTTAACCTGTTAAAAACCCACAGGGGGTATTTTCTATGGGGACAGCAGGAAAAGACAGCTTTGTCCTTGGCTTGGTTGGCCAGCTGGGTAGCAAGAAGAAACCCAGCATCCAGCAATCCTGCCTGTGGTGTCACTTAGTGGCTCCATGGCTGCAGTGCAGACCAAAGAACTGGGAGCCTCTTATGGGCTTCTGGTGAGCCACAGATGTGACCATGGGCTCTTGCTTATTAACAGAGCAAATGCTGAACTTCTTTACACTGAAACCCTGGAAGGGACAAACTCAGTCTTACTGGCTGTAAGAATTTCACCATCCTTCTAAGTCAGTCTTAAAGCTCTCTGTTTCAGACCTGTGCCTTGCCTTGGTGAATCTTCACGCAGGTTGCTTGGTTTTTGGTTGTTTTTTTTTTTGCCCCCTTCTTTCATGAGATGGAAAGAGATCTCTCAAGAATGCCAATCTGAATCCAGTGCTGTTCAGGCTGGGGAAATGCACTCATGGCCCTTCTTTCTGCTTTGCATGTGTCCTACCCTTGATCTAAGTTTCTTTTTCCCTTGCCCTTGCAAGTGCCAATAAAATTTAGATCGTATCGGTGATTTCTTTGTTTCCTCCACTCAGGAAAACAAGTTAGTTTAATGTTTTATTTGATCTCCTTTGAGCTTGTTTTTGTTTTATGTTTTTTCCCAAGGGAGATTAGAGAGTTTCTGCTCCTTTTCTTAAGGCTTATGTTTTCAGAGACAAGCCTTAAAGCAAAATTTGGTCTAACAGTGGTGGTACTGGTGAGAGTAATTGGGGTGAGAGTAATTTAAGGTTGGGAGGAAAGCTAATATACTACGCAGGGACCTGCCTTTGGTCAGTATGGAGTTCAGCACATATTCCAGTTCCCTTCATAGGAGCTGTGATTTTTGGCAAATCCCTAGACTGAAGATGCTGATGAATGCCAGTGCCTATGCTGTTTGCTTTTCAGTATTGAAGAATACTCCAAGAGCAAGTTTGATTTGCTGGTTGCTTAACTGAGCTGATTTTTAAATAGCTGAAGGTCAAGGTAAACTAAGGTGCTTGGTCCTTACGGGGAAGCTAAGTGAAGGTGGGCATAGAGGTGCCTCTGGAAGGAGACTCCTTCATGGACTCATGGGAACTCATCTAAGCTCAGGTGCAGGAGGATGGTGAGATGGTTCCTACCTCTACACCAAGCTGGTGGAGCTTTAGGCAAACAGGTTTCTGTGGCTAGAAGGGAAATGGCCCCAGAGCTTCTTTGTTCTACAACCTGCCTTAATTCTCATCTGTCTGTGCAATCTCTTCCTCTGCCACTGAGAAGGCTTGGTTATCTGAAGGGTCTGCTTGGATGGAGCACCAAACCAGTAGACCAGTAGCCTCTTTCCTCAGACTGGAGGGGTTGGCAGAGCACATGGGCAGCTTTGTTTCAGCAGTGTGACCCCTGTTGTTTTGCAAGCTGCTGGCCTCCTGATGTGGGGAGGAATGCATGAAGTATTTGAGGACTGCTGAGCGAGACAGTAGCACATTGTCCCAGGACTGGGAAACCGAGGTCCATTCCCAGCTGTGCCACCAACACACTGATCTTGACCTGGACTGCATCTGCAGGGGAAGTGCCTTTTCCAAGTTGTGCTGAAAACTCCCAAACCAGAGTCTGGCTTGAAATTGAGGGTATATCCCATGACTGTCATAGCAATGAGGTGCTGTTTCATGATGAAACTCTCTGGGGAATGGTGGAATGGTTACTGGGGGGCCTGAGCAGCTTCATACAAGCTTTATGGTAGGCAGGCAGCAGCCTGAATGGATGTGGGTGTGCAGTGCTTGGTGCCTGCTCTGTCATCCACGCTTGGCTGCAAAGGGCTTTGAGTTTGCAGCTGAAACCCACTGAAATTACCAGTTCCTTAGGCCCCAAAACTAGCCTGTTGCAGCCTGTCAGAGTTCAGTGGGTTTATAACACTGTGACTAATTATCCGCCCACTTCTTCAGGTTCAACAGCATCACCATGTTAGTATGATAAACACAGAAAGTCCTCACTTGGAAGAGATGGAAACTTTCCAATGCGTGTCTTGAACCAAAAGAAATTTCCTTGAGACCAATGGGAGGGACACAAGAGAGCTTAATCTGATCTACTGCTACCCTTTGAGTGTCTGATGTGCTGCTGTGACGATAACAACATCAGATGGAGGGGCTGGAGTGTGCGTGAGGGTGGGGAGGAAATCTTCCCCTGCAGCTCTTCTGCTCCTTTGAAGTCATTGACTCATTGCAGTTTGTTTTTCCTCTCGTTTTGTTGCTGTGGTGACTGGCCCCATGGTGCTACCCGAGTGCTAACAAGTGGAGGGCATGTTAATTGACAACCGTGCGTGGAGATAGCCGCAGATAAGACTGATCCCTGCCAAGCTGCTGGGTTTGCCCCTGGAATACTCTGCTCTGGACTGGTTGAGCTGTTGGGGACACTGCATTTGAACCTGCTGGACTGAAGCCCATGCACCGTTCCTTGACTTGTGACTTTGAGCTGCCGTGGGTCAGGCACAGGGAGGCTTCACAGTGCATTAGTTCAGTTATTGGAGCAAAGAGGGGTCAGATGGAGCTGAGGCTTGGGTGGGAAGTCTATACAGCCTTGGTGGAGGAAGTTATTGTTTGTTTGAGGTGGTGGTTGTGGTACCTGGCCCTTGTTGCTGCATCAGTCATGAACTAATGATGCTATTTGGGTTTTGTGATGAGCAAATTGAGGGGAGGAAAAGGGCTGCTGGCATTGCTTATCTAGGGAAATAAAGCTGGAAGCCCTTGAAGGGAAGGGACCTTAAAGATCATTTGTTCCAACCCCTGCCATGGACAGGGGCACCTCCCACCAGCCCAGGTTGCTCCAAGCCCTGTCCAACCTGGCCTTGAACACTGCCAGGGAGGGGGCACCCACAGCTTCCCTGGGCAACCTGGGCCAGGGCCTCACTGCTCTCATAGTAAAGGATTTCTTCCTGTAGCACAAGGGTTGACTGCACTTCTCCTGTGCTTAGAGGTAGCTACTGTCAAGGGTAATGACAATAAGGGTAATTGCCCAAAGCTGGGTTTTTGAGGTATGAAGAAGGGGTAGGATGGGGTTGAGCAAACAATCTGTCAGACCAAGAATATCACCCATACAAATGGCTCATCCAGCCTGCTGGTTGGCATTGGGTTTCAGCTCATGTGCAGTCAGTGCAGCCACATCCCGAGTAAAATCCGGCCTTTTTCCTCTTCCAGATGATGTGGCTGGAGGATGTCCCACGCGTGGCTCTGCATCGTGCAAACGCTCCGGGCTGGTGGCAGCCATTTAGCTCAAAACAGCCTGTTGGTAGCTTCAAGTCTGAGGTTAGCCTCTGAGAGCATAGGTGTTCCTGCAGGCAATGGGCAGCCTTTTGATCATGCAGCAAAGCTGTGGGTTTTCCTACCCAGAGAGGTACCGGTGAGAGGTGTCAGTGCTCTGTTTTGGTTCCTGCAATTTTGAGACAGGACCTGCTATGCCAGGTAGCCATTAGATGCTACCAGACTAGGACACCACTCCTGAGCTTGCTGGCCATGGCTGAAGCTGACCCTGCAGCTCTGCTTGCTCTCCTGGCTGAGCTCTGGAGACAGCAAGCAGCTGGGGGCCTGGGAAGAGGTCTGTATTTGGTCAGCCATCTACAAAATACGTGGCCTGGTTTTTGTACATCTTCACTGAGGCTGCAGCCTGGCCTGTACATGCATGTATGAGTCCTGTCCCATGGTGAACAGAGCTTTTAGCTGCCTGTTCTGCTCTGGGGGTGGTGGTTGGGACACCAGATCATCACAATGTCTGTGCCCAAATCTGTCTGGCTGTTGTTGGAGAGATGGTTAAGGTGACCTTGAGACCTTTCCCATCTGCCAGGGAGGATTAGGTCTTGCAGCAGACCCCTCTAGGGGTGTTTGTCTCCTTCAGCAAGCAGTATCAGGAAGAGCTGAGAGCTCCCACTCCATCAGCATCTGTCTGTTCTCCTTCCTAGGTGTTACTCTCTCCAGACATGGATTTTGATCAGTCTGAAAGCGACCAGGATATTTCAGGACACCAGGGAACAAACCAGAAGATGAAGCAGCCCAGCTATCAGGTGGTCATCTGACAACAGCGAGACAAGGGCGGTGGAGGAAGGGTAGCAGCACAGTGATCCTTGAGCAGGCTGGGAAGGGCAGGGTGGGGAACACTACTTGATCCCTATAGATCTGCAGAGATCCTCTTGCCTGCCTCATCTAGACCTATGCTCCTGGGATGGTGTCTATGCATCAGGCTTGAGCAGTATCTGCTTTACCTGCCTGACCCTAACCTGTGCACACGCAGGCATGTTGAGGTTGGGGGTGTGGATATGTACTTCCCCTGGCTGGCCAGCTGGCTGTAACCTTTTGTCAGGGCTAGAGACTGAAAGCAAAAGATTGTCTGGGTTGTTGTTGTGTTTTTTTAATGGAAAATAAAAATAAATCTATGCTGTACTACCTGAACTGTGACACTTTTATATGCACAATACTCAAAAGAATTGGTTTGCAATATGTATTTAAATGTCTTGAATGGGGAAGATTGTCTCAGTGGATCTGACACTTTTTACTGTTTTATAAAGAATGGAATAAATATTTGACCTACAACTGCTTCATAATTGAAATGCCTTTGTGTGCTTAATGTTTTGCAAGACCTTAATGCTGTAAAGGGGAGAAAGGGGATCTGTTAAAATCTTTCCTGCCCTGTCTTTCTGTAGCAGGGCTATCCTAGTAAACCTACAGCAGAAGAGAAGAGTCACAGTGCTTAGTTTCTCTAGATGAGTTGTATGAGCCACTTAGTGCAAGGACCTAATGCTGGACAGGCTGCCATTGATTCCACCTTACAAGTGTGTTTGTCCCAGGAGCTAGAAGTTGACTACTTCCTTTTATCTAGTTTAAAATAAATGTATAAAATCTCTGCAGGACCTGATTCAAAGATCAGATCTGAAGCATCAGCTGAAGCCCCATTCGCCAGCCCTGATCTTCTGGAGATAACGGCATGGCCTTAGGGTTGGTCTGCTGTAGAAGACCCCTGGGTCCTCCCAGATCCTGGCACCTCTTGCTCCAAGTGTGAGGTGCAGGGCTTTGCCCTTGGTCTCTCATTGACAAGAATGTATTTATCCATAAACACACAAAAATGCAAAACACTTTGCAGGTCTCCTGGGGAAAGGGAGCACAGAGCAGCTGCATAGTGCACTGCCAGTCTGGGTGCAGATACACAGCTGTAAGGAGACCCATACAGGCTCCAAATGCTGGATGGCCCTCGGAGCAGGGCCTGATCCAGGATCCACTGAAATGAACTGATAGGGCTGGCTGAACCACAGACCAGCTTTGCTTATTATAAGGCAGCCTCCAGAAGTTTTGGGTAGGAATTATCTTTTTTTCTTCCTTTTTCTTCCCTCCCTCTTGTATTTTCCCAAGGAATCATTCCTTATTAAGGAGCAGAGAATAAAGGATTTGGATTTTCTAACTTAGATGGGTTTAGACTTCTAAAAGCTGATCTCAGACCGTGTGAAGTTTTGTGAGTTTTTGGGGGTTTGAGGGGTTTTTTTCCCTAACTTCAAAGTAATTTAGAAGCATTAGATGCAAATCAAAGTCTTGCATGGCCCTTAGTGCACTAGACACGCTTGGCTACACTTGCAGCTGTGCAGCCTTACACTGTATTTCTGGAAATTAAGTCCTTTTTTGTTTCTTCCTTAATGAAGGGTCAAAATCCTACTGGTGCTGGCACATCAAGGGCCTTTTGTAACACATGGCAGACAGCTCTCTGAATAGATCATTTATATTGCTTAGTGAAATCGGTTTCACAATGCAACTTCTGCTTGTCTGGCAGAGTTCTGCACTGGTAAGGGCTGGAATAACTCCTGTGCTGTTTAAGGTCTTGAGTGAAAGTAGATTAAAACAGCTTCCCAATTAGAAACTTGCTTGCTATTTTGAGGTGTTCTGGTATTTTGGGTTTTGTTCTTGCTATAGGGCTGCACAGTGCAATGCTGCAGGATATCACGAGTGCAAATTCAGCCACAGCAAAGTCCTTGTCCTAAAAAAGGGGGCGAGTGGTGTGATCTCAGGTGGGGAGTAAACGTGACACTCCTAGGTTTTTGTTTAGGCTGGCCAGTGAGGCTCACAGCAGGGAAGAGCCTATTTTGATATTTTGGGGTTCTTGCTATAGGGCTGCACAGTGCAATGCTGCAGGATATCACGAGTGCAAATTCAGCCACAGCAAAGTCCTTGTCCTAAAAAAGGGGGCGAGTGGTGTGATCTCAGGTGGGGAGCCTAAACGTGACCTAGGTTTTTGTTTAGGCTGGCCAGTGAGGCTCACAGCAGGGAAGAGCTGGGCAAGCACAATGTGGGGGAAGCTTGTCCCTCTCGAGCATTGCATAGCCAGTCCTGTTTCAGCAGCCCCAGATTCAGGAGTCCCCTTCTCGTGTCTGAAATGATGGTGTGCAGTTCTTTCCATTGCGCTCCAGAGTGATTGCTCAGCCCTCATTCCTGGGCTATCTGAGCAGCTTGCAATCTTAACCAGATCACTGCAGAACAAACTGCTCTGTGAGCCTCCTGGAGATGAGCACAAATGCGTGCCCATACGTGCTGCTGTTGTTGTGCACTTCCTGGGAGCGCTCTGTGCTGCGACAAAGGGGTGCAAGGACCAAGCCTGGACACTTTCTGAGAGAGGGAAGTGTTGTGCCACCCCCTTTATAGATGGGGGAAGCTGAAGTTTACAGTCTATGACCTGCCCTTGCTCCTCCTGCTCTGGGGGCAGCAGGAGCAAAAACTCTGGTTTCCCATGTCCTGTGCTACTGTATTTAAAGGTTGGCTCAGTCTTCGCTCTGTGCTTAAATTCTGCTTAGTGTGGGAGTATACCCCTGGGGTCTGTTCACCTGACCACCTTGCTTCCCACCAAGTGCACAGAGGCTGAAGAACATCACTGACCTTTAATTTTCTGCTGAAATTACTTTGGTCTCAACCTGCTGGTAACTTGTGAGTGGTTCTTTCAGCCACCTGGTAATATGAGCTTGTCCAGCAACGTAAAACATACATAACCTTAGCTTCAAAGCTCATTTTATCTTTGTCAAATGAAAGCTTCACTGCAGCGTTCACTGTAAAATATTTATTGTGAAATGGATAACTGGAGCCTTAATGAGAACTTAATGAGTATATTGCTCCAGGTGCTTCACATGGCTGCGAAGTTGGATTTGATCATCGCTCTTTTCAGGCCCTGAAAGAAATGTGTTTCCTTAGCTGGAGGAAGAAGAGTAATGATGCACCTGAAGCCTTAGCAATATGCGTGTGTGTATACTTGTGTATATACATATCTATATACAGGAGAGATGAGAGAGGAGAGCCTAAGCCAATTGCTCCCCTTAGCACTACACTTGGATAGCATGAAGACCCCAGCTGAACCCTGGACTGCCTAGGAGTTCACTGCCATTATCCTGCTCACCTGTACTACTGAAATGCGAGGTTATTTAGAAATGGGCTGAGTGGTCTTCCCATTGCCTTCTTGGGTAGAGAAAGCCAACTTCACAGATGCTCTTTCTCATTTCTGGCCCACTAGCCCACTGCAGAGCATGAACCTGTGGTTACTGCATGTTCAGGGCTGTGCTGAAGGTCTTGCCTTCAGGTCTCCTTTGCAGGAGAGCTATTTCTATTTTCTATTGGGCCTAAAGCAGTAGGTTTTTTTTCTCTCTGTTTTGTTCTGAAGCATGGGCCTTGGCATGAGTTTTGCACTTACTGAGCTCTCTGTAAGGATCTTTGAGAGTGCAGTTAAATCTAGCTGGTTGCTTTTGGCTCTTCCCCTCTTTGTGTTAATAAGCAACCATGCTACCTGCTCTGCTGCTGCAGTGCTAGCAGTACTAAGTAGATGATGAAGCAACTGGAAAATCATCACCCCAGCAGCTGGAGCTCCTACAGCAACAATGTGATTTAATTGTTAAATATGCAAAAAAAAATCAGTCAAGATTGAACCTATTTCTGCAGGTCTTTGGCAACTCTGTTTTCTCCTAACACATGGATATCATTTAGCTCTTGGAGACGCTTCCACGCCCACCCCCCTTCCTTTCAGTCCTGGAAAGGCAGAGTGTACACGAGCTCAATATGGCCTTGCCATGTATACGTCTTTGTGGTTGTCAAAGTCTTCCTTGGCCAAATCCTCTACTAAACGAAATCCCCTGTGGCTGATCTATAGCATTATTCACTGATGCCTCACTTTAAAATAGACCACGGCCTTGCAGTTTGGGTTTGGAGGTTTCTTCGCAGAGCAGCACCACCTGCAGTGGGGGTGGCTGGCAAACCCTTCTGTAACCTCCTGCTGCCAAATTCCTGCTGCGTACAAATTCCTTCAGCGTAAGGATGGAGAAGGAGCCAGGGGAAATCGGGATGAAAACTTTTTGACAATTTGGAGTAAATAAAGGCTTCCTCCCTGCTTAGAAAAGCAGCTAGAAATGTCTAGTCTAAATTCAAGCGGCTGCTTTGTAGGGTCATAGGCTGTCACGGGTGCTGGTTCATTATCCTTTAGAAATGTTGGATCACATCATTAGGATGATGCACCACTCCTGTTGCTGCTGAAGACCAGCGGTGCTTTTTAAGCACACAGCCTGTGCAATGAGACAGCAATAAACCACGTGAAAGTTTTCACCAGTTTTAAGGGTCCGTAGTGGTTCAGGGAACGCCGTGCTTATTGGCAAATCCAGACCTCATCCCAATAACCAAGAAAGCAATAACCTCTTGTGGCCTGTTAATTTAAGGTTTTGACTCCTTTGGTACCTCTTTGATGCTAATGGGTCACTGCATATTAATATCCACCTACCTCTCCTCTCTCTCTCTCTTCTTGCCCCAGGGGCCGTGGTTGGAGCAGGTGCTCCAAGTCACTTTGCAAAGCGTATCACCCAAGGTTTTCTCTCTAGATAGGCACTGTGCTGCATGATCTGTGCCTCTCACTGGGTGACTCACCAGCCCCAGGGGTATTGCACAGATCCCTGCATGGGTTTATTTGAAGGCCAGCCACGCTCTATACTGCTAAATACAAGTGCTGACCCATTTCTCCCTCACACTGGGAGAGCACCAATCACACCATTAACCATGTTCTCAACCTTTCCCCCCTCAAACCTCCCTGTCTTCAGGAATTTGATGAACAATGGTCATCTAGCATGAAAGAGAGACAGCTGATTTCCAAGGGCAAAAAAAGCCTTGGTTTCTTTGGCACCAAAAAGTAAAGAAATATTCCTAAGTTGTTGCGTAGCTCTAGAGGCTTCAGAAGGGAACTGCTGTCACGCATGCTGTTGTAACGCATTGCTATGATTGGTTTTAAAGGCTGTTAGTTGTCTCAAAGCTGGTCCCTGTGTCGAAAGGATGAGAAGCCAAATAGTCTTTATAGCTCCCATCAATCAGTTTGTCCGCATTGTTTTTGGCAAACCAGCAGTCGACTTCCTGCTGGCCGTTGTAGATCCTCCTCTGCTTCCACACAACAGGAACGAGCCGTCCCTTCACCTTCAGGGTATTCGTAGGGTTTGGCGTTAATGCTTCAGTTTGATTCTGACCAACCTGCTGATGACTTGCATTTAGAGATTCCTGAAGAAGTTTAACTTCGTGGTTCAAGAACTGACCTGCAAGGCAAGATAAATTAGAGTCCATGACTGACTGTTTGTGCCTGTTTATAAGCAAGCTGTTGGTTTTGCTTTGGTTGGTTTTTTTTTTCAATAGGCTGTGTTTTGAGGATTCTTAGCATACAGGGTTGTAAAGGACTTCTCTGCAATAGCAGGATGAATTTAGGTCCTGTGATTCTTTTCTAAATCTCACAAAATAGAGATTAGAATAAAACCCTACTTCTTTTTTCACTTGTCAAGATACATTGCCTGAGCTAAAGAGCTTTTCGAGCTGTTAGTGGTAAGTTCCCTTCTGTAGGCCACAGTTACTAGAAGATACTAATCCATACAATGCTCATTAGCAGGCAGAGAGAACATTTAGGCCAGTTTCTCTTCCCTTGCCTTCTAGGGCATAAGCTCTTTTTGGCCAAACCTAAGTGTGGATTTAGAGGTTTGTGCATGCAAGTGGCCTGAATCCAAACCCCCACTCCTGAGGGATCATGTCCTGCTAAACCTGGGGGTGCCTGAATGTCACAGAAACTATGGCTTAGAGTTCTGCCCCTGTACATGGCCATAGCTTCACGACTTTCTTATTGACTAGAAGAACCCAACCTTCTAGACATCCTCTGAGCCTACTTAAAGCCTAGCTGCTCTCATAATGCATGCACATTTGAAAGAAAAGGGCCACAAAAACTACTGGTATTTCCTGATCACAATCAGACTTGGGAGTAAACAGCTCAGTCCTGAGAAAACAGACCCGCTGGACATGTATAAGTGCAGTACTTGAAGGCTAAGCCAATGATCTCTGGCAGTGTGCTAGCTCTGTGACTAGAGCTCTCTTTCAGACTCTGCAAGACCTCAGTTGACTGTCCTCTCTGCCTAAAGTCAGACCCTACTTGGCTATGTTCCTGAGAGCACATGAGCAGCTGGGATATTCTGAATTAGGACTACTGTTACAGAATCTCTTACTGGTGCCTCATTGAGGGTTCTTGGGAATATTTGGTTTCTGTCTCTGTATTGGGAGCATTAAGCATGTGTATTCTAACATCAACTGTATTAATCATAAAAAGAGTAGAAATGTGAAAAACAGGCACAGCCATATAAAAGATGGAAGGCAAGTTAGGGACACTAGCAAAAGAGAAGTTGGATGAGAGTGGATGTAAAAGTCTTACCTGGGAACTTAATTCCTACCTGCCCTGGTCATTACCCGCTGTCTCTGTCCTTTAAAACTGTTTGGAAGGATCATTTCTGTCTGGTTTACAGCTGTGAACCTGAGAACCTGTTACCTACCCAGTAGCCCATGGGAGTCAGAAGAGAGGCCTTTGCTGTTGGAGATGTAGAACCCCAGGTGATTCCTCTGATATGGGGCTGGCTTCTTGTAGTGGTGGATGAGGATGACAAAGCTGATTGTGTCTCTTATCGTCACAGTGATGTTGGAATTGGCAGAGATGGACACCTCGAGGCTACTGCTCCGCACAACAGCACTCCGACCACAGGACAAAAGAAGTCTTTCTCCATCATCCAGAATGATTCTTTTGGGTGTGATCTCTAGGTAAGACCTCTCTGGCTTATTGCTGAGGATCGTGATGGTGCTGAAGTAAGTCCGATGCTTCTTGTGGCCGTTGGGTGGTGCAGGAGCTCCAATTAATTGCCCATTCACAGTTACACCTTGCAGAAAAAATAATCAATAAATGAAAGCTGCAACCAAGAATAGGTTTATTGTCTCACAGATACAAGCCTTGCAACTGGGGACATGCAGATTCACCACCAAGGAAATTCAGGTTCTCTTTATGTTGCTGCAGAAGAGGACCCTGAACCCTGCACTACCATTGGGTTATTTTCGGCTTCACCAGTGCTGCTCTTCCAGCTTTCCTCAGTTTTGTCCCAAAAGAACCACTTTTGAGTAGTTTAAGGTGCAGACTCGACTGAGTCAAGTAAAGCCTCGATGTTCACAGTAAGATTCCCAATTATTTTAATGATTTTTGAGACTTCTTGTCTGTAAGACAGTGTCTTACACATCCCACAGGCCTCTGAACAGCTACTAGACAGTAACAATAACGGCGGCTTGTGGCTAACCCATGGTAGATCCAAGCCATCAACATTGAGATTAAATATCACCATAGTCCTTCATTGCTGAGGGAATCTCTCATTTCTGTCTTCATAAACTCAACTTGCTAGTGTGACAGGGTCCATTTTCCTCAAGCTCATTCTGCATTTAAGCCACAGAATCACTCAAGTGGTGGCACAAACACAGTCTGTGAAAGAACTTTAATGGAAACATTGCCAAGGGCTGGATCATATTCACTAAGATAGGACATGAACACAGAAATATGGAGGCTAGACCACTGCCACACAGAATAGAATTCTTAAAACTTTATTGTAAAGTTGTTTATTTTCTTTGTAAAACAAGTCTGTGCCTTGTCTCTGGTTTTGACATCTCTTCCTACCTCCGTTTCCCTTCTCAAGGACATAATCTGCTTATTAGCTGGCCTGCTTAGAATTCCAGATGGGATCAGAGCACAATTTGGGGCCCTGGGGATCAGACTGGCTTGGGCAAAGCAGATCCTGAACTGTGAGGGTGTTCTCAAGTCTATCATGACTCAGTAACCAGTTTGGTAGTCTTTTCACTGAAACAGCCTCAGTGCTTGGTTAGGCTGTTTGGGTACTTCGCTCTGTCCTGAAGCAAAAGAGCACTGTAAGTAAAGAGTGAAGTTCCAGTAACAGAGCAATTTTGGTGAGTCCAAGTGTTTTATTTGCATGTTGTGACTTTGTAACTAGAAGGCTGATGAAGCTGCACCATCCAAGGCAGAAAGGCGAATGGATAATGTCTTGGCATGGAGGTGGCTGCATGGCTCAGGGAAACACTGCGTGCAGGACATGAAATGTCTGTGGCTGTTCTTGTAGCACTGGTCAAGAGCAACCCCCAGACCGTACTGAGTCTAATCACCAGGAACTGAGCTCTCCAATCTAGCTGGGCTGAAGGGGTGCAATTAGGTTCACATGCACTCAACTGGGTCTCTTGGCTGTTTACACGTAATTGCTGCTCCCTTGATTCCAGTCAATGAAGACCTGAACTAGGAAAAGTCTGGGTACACATAAAGGCCAGTTCTCTCTATGGCTAGGTCTGATCTGTTGACAAACACTTCTGTAGATGAATTGTGTGTGTAACAGTTGCCAGGTCTCCTTGTTTAGGCTTGCTGTGCCTTCACCCATAAGCTATGATAAAGTTGGAGGTCAGTAAGTGCAAGTGAACACTTGACCTCTCCTTCTGATCTAGATTATTAGAGCCGGAAGACTGGTGTGCATCAGTTTTCCATTGGCTGTCCAGAAAAGCAACTTCTTCTAATTTGCTCCCCCTTTCTTGCCTATGAAGCACCTTGGTGCGTAGTCTTACTTCTAGAGAGCTGGCCTTGCACTTCAGCTTGCCTACACAATAACTGCTTTGCTTGGCTGCTTACCAGATTCCTTATGATCAGAGACCAGGCGGAGGATGTCCCCTGGTTCTCCATCTATATTGAAGCAGACAGAGAACTTGCCAGAAGGAAAATCAATGACAAAGTGAGGGTCTCCATCCGCTGAGAAGACATAGAAAAAGAGACAAATGTGAGAGACTTGCACAAAACTGCAGTGTCCAAGAATGTAACAAAACTGCTTTTCAAAGTGTGTTTGTCCCTGTTTTTTTCTAAGACCTCCCTGTTTGTTGTTTTTAGCGGGTCGGACGGAGTTTGCCAGGAAATACCAAGTTTTGCTTTGTTTTTCTCAAAGATTATTTTATTTTGTTTTGTTTTTCTCACAGAAGAGGTTGGGTTTTCAGTGAAAACTCAAAACCCAAAGCAGTCCATGTGAACGTCAGGATATTTTCTTCCTGGAATATAATTTCAGTGTTTCATGGGAGCTGTCATGCAGGTGTTTTATACTCCTCCATACTTCGTTGGCAGGCGACATCCACCCCAGTGCACAAAATGTATCTTCTAACCAAGGACTGCTCCATGGGCACACCTCACTCTGAACCTTCCTGTCCCTCAATAGCAGAGTGGAGCAGTCAACAGGAGATACTGAACAATCCCACAGTCTTAATTTTTCAACAAAACTTGACCTATCAACTACCAGATCGATGTAATTAATAATAAGACAAGCCGAAACCATAATTTTTAAGGTAAATTTGGCCTTATACAGTGAAATTCAAGTCTAAATTCTTGATCTGGCCTGCTTCTTCTGTGTTTAATTTATGACAAGAATGTTAATCAGAGGTGCAGAACCAACAGGGAAACAGCAAAACACTACAGATTTTTGTTCTTTTTTTCCCCTTCAACACCACTTTTTATTTTTCATCGATGTTACTTTATACCATGTTTTTTGACTAGTTCTAATACACAAAGAACATGCTTCCTGTTGTCCCCTCGTCTACAGAAGTCTCAAACACAGGGGTCAAAGGTTGTAGATCATCTGCCTTGCTATGTTTCCTCACATTTAAGAGTACTGATCTTCTCTGTATTTTGTTTTTATTTTCATTTTCCTCCCTGCTCTGCAGATCTAGTAAACAGGATTTTGGCTGATCCGTTGAGATGTTTATACCACAGTGGCATGCAACTGAGGTTTCCATAAATCAACCACTATTATTTTGGATTATTAAAGGCATGAAAACAGGCACTGACCTGAAGTTTTGGAGATTTTAATTCTTTGTTTATCTTGCTGTCTGCGTATACCTAGAAGTGAGGAAGGAAGGAAGGCTGTTACTATTACTTATTGCACAGCAGGAAGAGCCATAGTATTACAATGTTCCCAAAATATTATTCAGTGAGAATGTGGAACATACTCCTGCAGCTACTTTAAGCTTTAGAATACCAGTTTTTCTTCAATAGTTTCTACAGAGAAGTAAGTGCTTCAAGGGGGTGAGTCAGGTGTCTAAAAGGTTTGTTCAGGGTCACCCAGCCCACAATTAGCAAAATCAATATGAAAATCTTTCTGCTTACCACTCCTTGGTTATTTGGCCAGATCATCCCTGTTGCCAAAGTCAGCCATGAGACATTACCTATGCATAAAGATTTCTTACCATCACGTGGCTATTTTTTCCCTCGTACCTGGTGGTGCCTTGTGTCCCTGCAAGCTCTGCAACTTTTCACCAATGCCATCAGTAGAAGGGTTGATAAACTCCTCTTGAGGTGGTTTCGAGTGGAGCCCAGCCTCTCTCATCTTCAGAACAGTGAAGGGAGTAACAAAATTGTAAGTCAGGGCCATTGACTTGGCCTTCTCCATCAAGCTGTCCTTTTCCTGATTGTCATCACTCTTCAGCCGGGATTTAAGCAATTCCTTGATGGTGAGGTAACTCCATGCCCTCTCAATGTAATTTTTATCACCTTTGCCATCATCCAGGCCGGGAACACCTCTGATGTCATTCCTGTCTGGAAGGTCAATGGCCACATCTGTTTTGAGGAGAATGTACTTCTTAGAGTTGCTAGCGGTCACCTCCACGTGGAGGCTGTCTGAGGAGTGGTTGATGAGTTTGCCAGCTATTATAATTTCAGAGCCATTGAAGTAGTTAGGGAAGAAGTTCTGGGTGACCTGCTCCACATCGTCTTCTGGGTAATCAACACGGATGTCAGAGAGAAGGGGTGTTCCAATTTCATCATAGAACCTGAAACAAAGACACATTTCTCACCATTGGTGCTGTTCATCCAAGTGTATGCACACACTCTTGCACTTATACACAGCCAAAGATATAGTCAGGCTATCTAATAAGGCTCCTAAGACATTCAGGAGCATTTAGAGCTACCAGGCCCCAAATTCAATTACTGCATCCACTGCAACTGGGCCAAGATAGATGGGGGAGTCTCTACCCTCAGAAATTTTCAAAACTTGAGTGGACAAGGCCCTGAGAAAGCTAAATTTCAAGTTAGCTCTTGTCTGAGCAGAAGGCTGGATTACATGTCCTCCAGAGGTCCCTTCCAACCAGAATTATTCTCTGTCTCATTTTAGTTTTCAGTGTTTCTTAAGCATCTAATCAGAGTCTCTTAAGTATGTTCAGAAACATCCCAGCATGGTCTGGCAGTCATCTACCTTCCACTATGATTCAAGAGATCTCAACGAGATATTTGTGACCGCTTAAGTTTGCTTAAGAGGACCTGTCCATCAAATGTAAATTACTGGATTCTCAGGCTCACAGAAAGCACCCTGGCTATTTCAAAATGTACTTTGAAGAGATGCTGTTACCCAGTTTTCTAATGGTATTATGCGTGGTATTCCAGAGCCAGAAACTCTAAGACCAAGATGCTAGGCCCCCCAAAGCTGGAGTGTATCTGAACCAAAGCTTCTGTATCACTGTAAGAGCACTACATAATACAATTTGGGATGGTCAGTGTGGGACAGACAGGAACATGGTTTTCTGAGGGTCAAAGGAAAAAGAAAATCAAAAATTAATTTCACTATGCCCCCGTAAATGAGAACATTTCCAAGGAATGAAGGAATCCTAACTACTAAATACAGGAGGACTGGCAGAAGAGAACTCATTGCTGCCTTACTGCTGTCTTTCTGTCAGAGCAAGCAATGACTTCCATGGAACCAGAGAGTTTCATCCTACAATGCTTTATTACTGTAACCTACCATACTTCTGAGAATACTTTGCACTGGACAGGCCGGAAAGCCTTTACAAGAGGTCAAGGTCTAAGTTTACAGTACTGTTTATCCTGCAGCGATGTGTTTTTGATGAATTCTTCCAAGCTGCTCCACAACTGCCATATTTCCCATTGAAATGCCAAACTCCTCATCTCCTGGCAAGTCATTTGAGTATAATTTGGTAAATAAACAAAGAACTGGCCTCAGCCCGTTTTTAGTTCAGGCTGCATTTATTTTTCACATCTGCTTAAACAGATTGTCTGGAAGCTAGAGTCACACTTTCTGGTTTATTCTCTCTCCAAGGAAACCCAAAGCCTGAATTAGTTGGCTTTATTTTAAAGCCTCTCTGAGCACCCAGTGTCTTTGATGTGGAGACTTTGATGCATTTTAAAACATGAGTGAATTAAACCTGAGAATTTTCTATGAAATAACTCTTGGGGTATTACAAATAACACAGGATACAACCTGTCTTATAGTACAGTGCAAGGAAGTATCTGTGTGAAAATACAACCTATGACCACAAAAATCAGAAATTACGTTGGCACTCATGTAGATTTTTCTTCCAAGAGTGATTTGAATTGGCCTCCAGCAAGTGATTGTGCCTTTCCATCTAAATTTGGCACCAAATGCCGAATGGGTTTGCCACCACTGAGCTTGATGAACAGTGAGTTGCTTAACAGATAGAGGTGTTTGAACAAGTACTTGCAGTGCTGGGTTCCTGCGGCCCGATCAGTCAGCACAGCCTTCATTTGCCAGGGAATGCCACTTGCTATCCAAAAATGTGTGTTCTGAGAAGCAGATGACATGGGTGAGGTGACAGATGGATCTATACAATCTGGCTTAAAAGGAGATGCTCTTGTCCACGTATAACCACCACAGAAAGAAAGGCTCTAGTGGAAGGTGCATGGTCTCACTGCTCCGGATGAATTAGACAGTAGCTGGGGGAGAGTTCTCCACTCAATGACTGTCTCTTTTTGCTTTCTGAGGTTCAGAACACTAACACTTTGAGAGTGAAAGCCAAACATTTTTGCCTGGAAGTACTGACACACTGCCTGATATTTTAGACAGAGCTGTGGTTCAGATGTCTTTTTGCTGTTCCTCACTACGATCTCCTCTTGGACTACAGCTCCCAGATCACAGAGGAGGAACATAATCCTTGGTCCTACTGAATGATGAGGATTACAGGGAACTTGTTAGAAGTTTGGGTCACAAAGAATGAAAGAATGAAGCAACTATGTGATAATCCCAGGAATAACCCTTGTGTATTTTTCAAAGTTGAATATTTTGGAGTTTGGGCATAAGGTAATCTTTTTCAAAAAATAAAGAAATAATTTTTGCCACAAATTGGGACCTTCATTCCTGAGCCCCTTCATGCTGTTTATGTTGTCAATTTGAAGTGCGTAATGCATCCTTTCTTCCCTCTGTCCATCTATGGAGAGGTGACACTCATGCCTCCCATGTCTCCAGGTTTACATGCCCAAAACAACGATCTGAAATATGGAAACAAATGCCTCATTCTGAGGGACTGGGAAGCTCCAGTACAGCTCAGGGTGTCTGGTAGGAAGGAGACAACTTCTGGGTAAGCATCCTCAGTATCTGAGCACACTCTGCCTTTCTCAACCCGAGTTGAACCTCAGAGAAACTCCCATCTCTTGCTATGTCTCCTTAGATGATTTTTCCTTCCCAAAACCCTTGCCCAGAGGACCCAATGCAGCTATAAACACAGAAAAAGGCAGAACAAACCCTTTGAGGTGGCTGGCTGCATCCTCATCCTCCTGGAAATGCCTTGTCATGCCACAGTTCTCCAGTGCCATCCTCTCCAGCAGCTTATGGTCCACATCGTTGCCTATGCCAATGGTGAAGAGGCAGAATTTGTCACGGATGGCCTCCTTGGTGTTGCTGAGGATTCTGGACGACTGCGTTTCCCCAACAGTGGGCCTTCCATCCGTGAGGAAGATGATCAGAGAGACGCTCCTGGCATCAATGTCATTCTGAGCAATGTAATCATTCAGCAGCTTTGCACCAGTTTGGAGAGCACCATTAATATTAGTCCCTGGAAAGGCATCAAAATTATTAGCTCATTTCTCCTTCTAAGAGTGGTACAAATAACTTTCCTACGCTCCTTTTAATAGGATGACAGCATCTCTGTCCATCAGGATGTTCCTTTCCTCTGCATGAGGTTGCACTAGCCCTTTAACTCAGCTCAGCCATTAGCACCAGTTCGGGACTGGTTTTTATAGCCTTATGAATTGAATTATGAATTGCAGTTTATTATGTGAAATTGCTCTATCCTTGAATGTCTCAATCTACAATAGTCAGCCATGGTAAGCAGAGTCACAGCACATACCACATCCTGCCAGTACATACAAAAACAGTTAAACTTAATTAGGGACTCTTCCAGATGGTATCTGAACTGGGAAAACAAGTTCTGCCCTTTTTGTCTGAAGGGCACAAGATTTGAAGAGAGGAAAAAAGCCTCCAAATGGGAAAGCAAGTGCCTGGGTTTGAAGAACAAAACCCAGGGGCTAAGAAAAGTTTAAAGGGAAGAGAAATGGCTTTGTTAACTGAGGAGTGTGTTTTCACAGATCAAACTGGCTACTGAAGAATGGAGCTGTCTGAAGTGGGAGAGAGGGACAAAACAGAAAATAAATGAGGGAATAGATGTACTTTAGAAGAACAGCCATGAGAAGGATTGAAACATACTGCTTGCTCTGAAAAAAAGAAAGCAGGAAAATGAGTACAGGTATGTCCTTGCTCCATGTATTTTTTGTGCTAGTCAAAGCAAAGAGGGATCGGTTGTGGAACCTTTGCAAAATTAGTACATCTGGGTTAAAAACTGCCCTCAAAAAAGCAGGTGAAATGGGTTATGAACCATACACAACAGACCCCACTTAGGGGTCTAGAAGGGGATATCTAGGAAGGTTACCAGTAAGGATGTGCTAGCAGGTCTGATCATGCATCATGTACCTAAAAACTTGGCATGCACAGCTCCAGTGACTGCAGCAAGACAATGAACAGGAAATGGGCGAAGACTTCTGAAAAGCCCTCAAAATCCAGACTGTGTTTTTTGCAAAATGGTTTTGAACCAAACCCCTGCACCTAAATGTCCTCATACTCTCTCAGTCTCCACCCAGATCCAAAATTTCAGAAATAACATTTCCTCAGAAACAAACAAACTCAATCTATCCCATGCAGCAGATAGTGTCATTTCAAACCCAGCCATATCAGAGCTACCAAGCACTGAAAAACGCCTTTTGCCACATGCACAAATATTTAGCAGCAATATTTTGTTCCCATTTCCTTGGTGTGTGAGTATGGCACAGCAGTGTAAGCACAGCACATTCTTCATGTGTGTGATCTGTGAGCCTGAGTGCATTCACATTCACTGAAAGATGCTCAAGCAGCTTTATAGGGAAAACACAGAGTCAGCCAAAACTAAAGTACCACTGGCCTGTAGTGGAGAATCACCGCACCTT